AATGGGAAAGATGGGCAGAAACCAGACAGATCTATGAGATTTATAGTTTCGACCATTGGCAAACTCTTCTTTTCCTCTTAATATGATTTTTCTTTTGTTTAAATATTGAAGATCTTTGCATGGGATGACGATTTTGTCCCTTAAATATAAAATCCAGAAATATTTTACCGTCAATTTGGCTGGAAGAACCAAAACTGATAAAAATAACAAAGTTAGGCACCAAAATTGAAAAAATTTAAAGTTGTGCACCAAAAGTGATAAGAACTCAAAAGTCGTGGGATCAAAAGTGAAATTAATTCAAATATTTTTATAATTAAGATTATTGACACGTAAAATGAAACATCAACTTTAAACTGCCAACTTAGATGGAAAAGTAACTAGATAACTGCCAACTTAGATGGAAAATTAACTAGATAATTGTTTTGATTGCACGATTTTTGCTTGTTCGTTAGGAGATAATATATATATATATATATATATATATATATATATATATATATATATATATATATATATATATATATATATTTTGTTGAATGATTTAATTGTATTTTCGTAAAATTTTAGATGATTTATTTGATCTTCATATTACATGTTTACGAAAATGTATTGTATTTTCTATGAAAAAAATTAACTTTTAAATTATTTAAAGCATTTTTTTTTTTGAAAACCAAATTATTTAAAGCTATTAGTCTTTCACTAAAACATATTATTTTTTATGAAAAATTACATTTTTACTTAAAAAAATTACTTTTTCTTTCAAAAGCATTACTGTTTATTCAAAATATTAATTTTAACTGAAATTTTTATTTTTTCCTTAAAAATATTAATTTTTAATATAAAAATATTATATTTTCACTTAAAAGTATTAATTTTTTATTAAAAAGTATTGTGTTTTTTCACTTAAAATATTATTTTTTTACTGAAAAATAGAGTTAATATCAGATCTCTTGACTAATACAGCTTCGACATGTGTCTTGAACTTGACCCTGTTATTTCAAAAGCTAGTGCAGCTGTCGAAGAAGATTACAAGTATTGAACTATTTTGAACTAATGCTTTGTTTCATAAACTTAACAATTCAGTGTAAATATTTTATATTATTTTAAAGAAACATTTTATTAACACTCAGGGCTGGTCCTATCATTTTATAGGCCCGGGGCAGGATAAAAAAAATGGGCCCCGGTTAATATATATTTCATGCCTAAAATTTAAATTAAATAAAGAAAAAATTATTAATATCAATAACTTTAAATAAGATTAACAAGTTTTTAACAATTTTACACACAATAATAATCATGAAAAAAATTCTAGGTGTTTGCCTTAATCAAAAATAATAAATAATCGTATAAGTGTCTTCATAAATAAATAATATTATAATTTATAAAAATGAATAAATAATTTAAAATCGAGTAAACTTATAAACAATAACATTGTTATCATAATAAATAATAAATTAATTATTATTAAAAAAATTTATAAAATAATAATTACAAACATATGTGAAGTTAAAAATATTTTTTGATTAGGAGCAAGAAATTAAAATATGTCAAAACGCAATAAAAAATGCAAAAAGATATGAAACATAATTATCTAGATAAAATAATTTGAACATAAAGCATATTATAAATCACACATCTTCTATATTATTTATAAATACTTTTTCTTTTAAATAGATAAATTTCAAACTTTTTTAGAATAATTTAAATACAATGACACATGATAGAAGCTTCTATATTACATTGATTAGATATTCATAAAAAGGTACGGAGTAAATTATCTTTTAATTTTTTTTTAATAATTCAATCTTAAAATATATCATATAACTCCCTCCGTCCTATTTTTACGTGTCTTGTTTCGTTAACATGAGTTGATTGAAGATTTTTTAATTCAATTTTTCATAATATGTTTAGTATAAGTATATAAAAATTTATAAATTTAAAAAATGCATTAAAAATTTAATAATTATATGAAAATTTATATATTTAAAAACTACATTAAAATACTACTCCGTATTAAACACAAAAAATCAATAAAAATAAATTTTTAAAATATAAGCAAAGAAATAAAGTTGAGGAATTTTAAATTGTGAAGGGAAGGATTGGATCACCGGCCTTTCATTAAAATGAGGTTAAAATTAAAATATCTTACCAACCAAGCTAATTCACTTTATTGTAAAACAAATATATATAAATTACTTATACTTAATACATATAGACTATATATATAAGATAGGAATAAGGGTCAAATAGGCCATTGAACTGCACACAATAATGCAATTAGGCCACTGAACCAAAAAAAACAACAATTAGGCCACTAAACTAAGCAATTTCATTCAATTATTCTAATTTACAGGTTTTGTAGGTTATTAACAGGTCACCCAAACAATTTAAATATTTTTAAAAAAATTATTATTTAAAAATAATAAATTAAAAAAAAAAAAAAACTCGTCTCTGCCGGAGACGAAGAACCCATGGCCGGAGACGAAGAGTTTCTTCGTCTCCGGCCATGGAGATGAGGAAACTTTCTTCGTCCATGGCCGGAGACAAGAAACTCGTCTCCGGCGGAGATGGTTAATGTTTTTTTTTTTTTTTTAAATTTAATTTATTATTTTTAAATAATAATCTTTTTAAAAATATTTTAAATTATTTGGGTGACCTGTTAGTAACATACAAAACCTGTAAATTAGAATAATTGAATGAAATTGCTTAGTTTAGTGGCCTAATTGTTGTTTTTTTTAGTTCAGTGGCCTAATTGCATTATTGTGTGCAGTTCGATGGCCTATTTGACCCTTATTCCTATAAGATATAGGATGGGGCCCTCCCCCAAGCATGGGCCCTGGGCAAGGGCCCAGCCTGCCCTTGCCCCAGGGCCGGCCCTGTTAACACTGTTCATAAGATGTCAATTTTTTAAACAGATCATATATAATTAATAATTAAAATGTTTTTACTAAAAATTTATTACTTACATCACAAATTATATTTTGTATTAAACTAATTAAATTTGAATTAGTAAAAATTTAATACTAGGGAAATCATATTATTTTAATGTTGAATAACATTTGATGTGACATTTGATGGAAATTTTGGTGTTTTGGTGTTAATGGGTTGGAGATGAATAAAATTTAGTGTAGAGAATATTCTTTTTGATGTGACATTTAGGAGAGATTTTTGGTGTTTTGGTGTTTTAGTGTGAAGTTTAGGTTAGAGATGCTCTGCAACTCTTTTTTTTTTTTTTTTTTTTTTTGTTCGTTGTAGTTGATTGGTTGTTGGAGACTTGGAGCCAGCCTACCCTTCATGACTAGGCACAATCAATGCTCTCTGAAATGTGTATATAGTAATTAAGTGTTTGGTTGGTTGTTATGCTGCTATAGCCCGTAAGCTGCGCAAAGCATTAATTTTTCAGTGGCATAGATAGTATCATCAATTCAAGGCCAACTCTTCTTCAACACGTTTGGAAACAAGGATATATAGCTAGTCTTAGAGCATCTCCAATTAATTAAATTTTTGGAAAAAAGATTTTCAAACAAGATATTTGATGAGAATAATTTCGTAGGAAAAATTAATTAATATGTTTAATGTTATCTTAGAAACGTAAGAATTAAATTATTAAAAAACTAGTTAAGATATTGATTTGTTTAAATTTTTTTAGTTATGAAATTCTTTTAAAATATTTAATGTACCATTGTTATTATATACTAATATTTTTTAAAGACAAAATGTTAAATTTTAATACGTAAACAAACTATTTTAAATTTTTTAAAAATGTCCTTCTTAGTCTTTTTACAATTATCAGCTTATCAAAATGTTAATTTTACCAAACACTTTCAATCATAATAGCTCTTTAGTTTTCAGCTCCTAACTTACAGTTTTTCAGCTTTCAGCTCATTTTTAACTTCCAGCTCCTAGCTTATAGTTTTTCAGCTAGGTTTACCAAATATAGCCTAAAAGTATATTATTTTGTATGATTACATCCCGTACACAAATAATGTAGTTTAATATATTAAATATATATATTTTTTTAATGATCCACGCAACATTGTGTGAATCATGGTCTGCGGAAATTCATAAACAATAAATGGTTTGAAAACTGATAAAAACGAACACAGAAATGAAAAGTCTAAAGTGTATGTAATTTATTTCAGTCACAAGCAAATCGATATATACTGCCAAGACAAATATGCAGTACACATCATATATAGAAAAACGATAAATAACCTTCACTCCTTGACTACGATACCAAAATACCATATGAAAGTAATCACAAATTGGAAATACAAAAATAATTAATCTCCCAATTCAACAATATGAAATCACTAACACACACTTAGCTTAAATTCGCTTTCAACATCAATAATGCGCGCCCACTCATGCTTTGCTTCGGAATTCATCCAACAACGAACCACATGTCTGACCAAACATAATAATAAATTTAAGTTATTTATAATCAGGCAATCAAGTTCAATCTACAGAAAATATAATAATAATAATAATAATAATAATAATAATAATAATAATAATAATAATAATAATAATAATAATAATTGAAAGAAATATTAAAAGAACAAGGTTTAAAGACTTTGACTGACCTCTAGATCACGGTCAAGAAAAATATAAAAATAGGTAGCTCAATTCTGATCCACACATTCATTGCGCAAAGATAAACAAATGCATCAACTTTAATTCTTTTATTTCAAGAAAGCAATTGACATAGCTGACCGAACAATTAATCATCATCAGAAACCTGAAGAAAAATGTACAACTAAGTTAAAAAAAAATCAAATAATATATTTCAAATAATCTAATTAATTCAATATCTTATTTTTTGCTGAAACTTAAAATGAAAAGAAAAACTATTAAATTAATTGGTTTATATATAAGAAACTAACTCCAATTCAAGGCCTTGCTTGAGGACCACAAGCGCCTTGAGCCACAGTAAAAGATTATGTTATATATAATCTTTATGTGTAAGATATTTGCTAAATGATATATAATATGCTTACTATTTCTGGTGACAGTGTAGAGGTGCTGGGGTGGTTAAATCCACTGGTGTTGACATTTTCCTCTCCAATTGATTGCTTATGCATCTGTAGGAATAATATATTTAACGAGAAAACAATTCAAACTCTTCTTTTATCGTAATATTATTTCAAGGACCATAAATAGATAAATTAACATAGGTTATCCATAACTGAACGGATCAAATCAAAACGGTTAATAAGTGTCACCCACTGAAGTCAAACTTGAAATCTCGTAGTAATCAAATTAATCGCAAAACCAACTTTAAAGTAAACGAACATAAATGAACAAATTTTAGAGCTTAATTTATAAACGAACAGAGTCTGAATATTTGTAGGTTCATTTGTTAAGAGCTCGTGAACAAGCTTGTTTGTGTTCATTAAATAATGTTCTTGAACAAGCTCATTTAGTGTTCGTTTAACAATGTTCACACACAAACATATATATATATATATATATATATATATATATATATATATATATATATATATATATATATATATATATATATATATATATATATATATATATATATATATAAATGAAGTGTATAACATTCATTCACACTTATTAATTTTTAGATTATACTAATCTTTCACTAAAATGTATTATTTTTAATGAAAAATTACATTTTTTACTTAAAATTTTACTTTTTCTCTAAAGTATTGCATGTTTACTCAAAATATTATATTTTAATTGAAATTTTTTAATATTTTTCCCTTTTTAAGGACTATCGACTTTATTATAAAGTAATATTTGTTCAATATATTTTCTTTATCTGTTGTAGTCCAAAGAGTCAATACCACATTTCCGTGATTTGATCTTGTGACATTCCCTAAATGAAGGTCACATAACTGTCACCTGAATACAAGGTGAAAAATGATATTTGTATAAATCAAAGTTTGAACTGTAAGTAGGGAATAGAAAATAGAGTGGAAAGTGATTGTGTGGAGGAAGGAGTATTATCTCTAAGTGAACACAAAGTGAAAAATGATATTTTAATTTTATTTGAGAGAAAAGATAAGAAAATAATAAAAATTATGACCCACATTATTTGTATAAATCAAAGTTTGAACTGTAAGTAGGGAATAGAAAATAGAGTGAAAAGTGATAGTGTGGAGTAATTAAGGAGTATTATCTCTAATTATTTTGGCGTTGAGTGGTAGTTAAGGCGATTTTAAAATTTTAGCTTAGATGTCAGAAGAATTATTGCAGTCGTCAGAAGACATTATTGAAGGAAGACATTAATCTCCGACTCCAACAACCAAAACATTACTGCAGAAATAAAGCAACAAAATACATACACCCAACCACAAAATTAAATTAACTAATATAAGTACAGCAGCTGCATAGGTATGGTAGACAGGTAGTGATGATATAGAAAAACTTTAACGCATTGTTAAAAAATTAATTAAAAATCACTTAGTTTCAATTTGAGTTGGGTTAAAGTATATTCTAATTTTTTTAAGATTCTATTTGAAATACATAAGATATAAGCTAACTTAAAAGCTATTAAATACTAACTTATTTTGAAGCGCTATTTAGGGTGATGTCTCAAAATAAATTATTAATTTAAGTTCTTCATATTTTACAAAACAGAGACTATAGTTTATTTGTAGCTAAAAATATGTTCTTCCAAATATAACCTATTGGAGAGGTATAATTTGATATATTATATATTCTAAAATTCGTAGTTGATTGTCATAAGTCTAACGGTCAAAGTACCTATGAGGTCCCTGTACTATAGTCTTTTGTTCAATTTAGTCATTCTACCTTAATTTTGTTTAATTCAGTCCCTGTACTTTAAAAAGTGAAACAATTAAGGACAATAGCTAATGTGGCGTTGACATCTTATCTGTCACGCCATCATACATACATGCCAACTCATATATTATTTTATAAATATTTAAAATTACTTATTTTTACCACCAATATATTACATAATATGTCCAAAATAAATACATAAATATCAATTATTGTCTTTAATTGTTTCACTTTTTAAAGTACGGGAACTAAATTGAACAAAATTAAGGTAGAAGGACTATATTGAATAAAACGCTATAGTACAGGGATCTCATAGGTACTTTGAACTAAGTGTAACTACTTAAAATTATTTAGGTGTTAGCTAAATCAGTAACAAACTTAGTTTTTATTGTGTTTTGCCTTAGCAACTAGTTCAAATATTTCCTTAATTACAGTTCCTAATTCATTTTCTACAATATCATTTTCAATTTGTTCTTTTAATTTGTCAAGTATTAATTGTTCTTGGAGTTAATTCCAGTAATGGTCCTCTGACTATATTGATTTTCCAAAATTAGTCCTTGACTTTTAATTTGGACACTTTAGGTCTCTTGACTTTCAATTTCTTTCCAATTGAGGTCCTTTCGTCAGAATACGGTTAATTGAATTTTAAATGAAGGGGTAAACTCATCATTTCACCTGCCTATGTATTATTCTTAGTATTTTTCCATTGTATACGCGATATATATGAAGATAATCTTAGTCGAAACCCTAAAATGTTCCTTGTCGTTCCCCATTTGCTGACTACTCGTGTGTGCGTTCTGTTAGGAACATTGTATTAGGATTTTGATGATACCAATGTAATGTAGAAAAGTAGACCCCTAACCATTAGCTGTTTTTGTTTCGCTGCTTTCGTCTTAGACGAAAGTTGCCATAACTCCCTTGTAATTCGTGTTAAGCTAGACAAACACACGAAAATGAGTTATGACTAGATGATAGGGTCTCCAAGGCGAAAGAAGACACGAGACATGAAGAACAACAACAAGAGTAAAGCAGGAGTTGTCAACAAACACGAAAGGACAGTGTTTGTAAAAATGATCTTTGTTAAACATTACTTCTTTTCAACAACGAGGAGAATGTTTCACCTGTCTGATTTGACAACATCCTAGGACAATAAGGACTTCATCTTATGGGACTCACTTTTCAAGAAGCATTAAATGAAGATGTACTATCTCTTGGAGCTAAAGGACAAAACCCTAATGCTTTCCATATCTTTAACGGCTACATGGTACAACTTCATTAATGGAGCATTTAATGCATGAAGCTCCCCGGTCCTTGTCCAATGGTTAAAAGGTTCGAAAATTTCATCTCCCTCCAACGGATGAATTTTCATCACCTATATAAACTCACCTTCATCAACTAAGAAGGTGCTGGTTCATTATCACTCGACTTACTCACGTACAAAAGCTCTTGAAACATCTACAATTTACAAAAAGCTTTTGTGAACCAGTTTTTGAGGTGTTAAGTTATTTGGAGAATCACTTGTCTTATACCTCAAGGAAGTCTTGACATCAGTTTGTAGCTATTATACCTCAGAGTCAAGATCTCTTCGTTGGAGAACTCAAGAAATCTTTTTCTACCAACCTCAACTCAGGAGAAGAAGTTGATAGAGGCAGAGTAAACTCAAGGAGTTGAAAAACCTACAAAGGCTGTCCGGCTTAGTGATCAAGGAAGTCTTTGTGTAATTGTACTAAGAGTGATAGTGCAATCCTTCCAACAATTGTGGAAGAAGAGTGGAGTAGGCAACATTGGCCGAACCACTATAAAATCTCGTGTCCTCTCTATCTCTTTACTTACGTTCTTTCATTTTGCTTTCATATCACCTCTTCATTATCCTTACCGAAAGTTTGTCTAAGTACGCAAACTCGTGCAAGTATTTAAAACGAATCTATCTTATCTGCTGCGCCAAGACACCGAAAGGTGACGTTTAGGGCCTCTAACGAAAAGAGTCTATTCACCCCCCCCCCCCTCTAGACTCTCATCTCACTCTATCGGGACCAACAAGTGGTATCAGAGCCAATACCTTGATCGGTAAAGGCTTTGCATTTACTGCCTGGTAGATCCCTATTCAAATATATCTTGAAAATCTTGCATATTTTCCTTGCACGTTTTTTTTTTAAAAAATGGAAAAGGAACATGCTCATCGTCCCAAACAACTTGCATTTAGTCTTGCTAAATTTGATGACTGGAAGTTAAGAATGCAGGCTCTCCTATGCTCCATTCATGATGAGATGTGGGACGTCATAACAACCGGACCAATCACAATCATGATGGCGAATGCTCAAGTAGCCGCACAGGGTGTAGGAGCTCCACAGATGATACTAAAACCAAAAGACCAGTACTCCTCAGAAGATAGAGCAAGAGCGAATCTGGACAATGTAGCAAGAAACATTCTCTACAACTCTCTGGATGATTCCCTGTTTCCAAGAGTCCGAAAATGCAAAAATGCTATGGAAGTGTGGAATGTCCTAATGAGATTGGGAGAAGGAGACGAGCAAGAAAAGGACAACAAGCTGACAATGGCTATGAAAAAATTCGAAGATTTCAAAATGCTGCCAAATGAATCAATCTTGGATATGGAACTCAGATTCACCAGACTGATGGGCGATTTATCAGATCTCGGAAAAGAACTCACTGAGAAGGAAATGAATTTGAAGATCCTTCGTGGTCTACCCAAATCATGGGAAATGAAGGTTATTGCAATGAGGGACAGTCGAGATATGAAAACGACAAGCACTGCCAAAATTTTCAGTGATCTCAAGGCTTATGAGTTCGAACATGAACCAAAAGATGCCGAAGATTCAGAAACAAGAAACATTGCTCTCGTGGCAAATCAATCAGCATCAACATCCAACAGGTCGAAATCTAACTCCTGTGAATTTTTATCTGATGAACAATATGCACTATTTGTCAGGAAAATGAAAAGATTCATGAGAAAGAACAACTTTCAAGATCCACAACGTTCGAGCCACCGAAAGAAGCATGAGAATTTTCCTCAAACCTCAAAATCTGAAACCATGGACTCTCAGCTATTGTGCTATAACTGCCGAAAGCCAGGACACTTCAAGGCAAACTGTCCACATCCCATCGTAAGCAAACATCAAGATAACAATGCCACCACAAATAGGAAGGAAGAAGGAATGTCCAGAGGCAATGTTAGTGAGCGAAACTTCTGACACAGTCGCAACCGAAAGTAGCTCCTCAAGCTCTAGTTCAGAAGACGAAAGCACTGATGAGGAGAAAGGACTGCTGTGCCTATTCAGTC